CAGCATGTATTTGAAAAATATGAATAAAGATGATTACTAGGCAAATATTTTATTCTTTCAATTCTTAATTAAAAATAATTTCAAACAGAAAAGTTGCAGTAATAAAAAAAGAATACACAGAAACCCATATAATTTTCATATTACCTCATTTGCTTTATCATATGCCCTCTCTCACTAGATATTTATTTATCAATCCATAGATATATATATAGATAGATAGATAGATAGATAGATAGATAGAAGATATATATGTAGTAGGAGCATATATACAGGATATAGTATTGATATATATAGGAGCAGAGAGGGAGAGAAGGGGAGGGCACTGTTTTCTGAGCCATTTGAGAATACGTTGTATACATCAAGTTTTGTTTTGTTTTTAGATCTCTAAAAAACACCTCATAACTGCTCCTCTTCCTGGAAATCTGTTGTAAATCACAAAGGATTTATGTAATCTGAAGAGAAACCGGAGTATTATCAGGCACACGTTTTATTCTGAAGATAAAAATAAGAACATTTGTCTGTCTCCCAACTTTATAAAGTTTTAAATGAACAATGAAAGGACATATGTTATTATCATATCTGCTAAGCTGAACATTCTTTTAAAAATCTGTCAGATCGTTTTTTTCTGATAGAACATGAACCTGGGGCCTCATCAGATTTGATTCTACTGAAATGTATTTCTTAGAGAAAAAACAGCCTAGGTGTCTGACATAAGTCTGTAGTCAGCTATAATGGTTAATGTGCAACCTCCCTTCAAAAATGTGTTTTACAAGCAGAATGTTGACACGATTTTAATTATAGCACTCAAGTGAGCACTGATATAATTTTTAATATTCCTCCATGGTAACGTTTCCATTGTTCTGGTGGAGGAAAATGCTCTGGTCCCGAGTCCCTAGTTTCTGGTGCTTTTGGATTTTATAGGGATGTTGTCTTTTTTGAGAATGCTGTCTTTCTGAACAGAAAATTTTCACGTGGTCACAAAGAAGAGAATATGACTCTAAAATCGGTGCATTTATTTAGTAACATGAATTGTTCTCTCTGTGGCAGTCATGATTCTGGTTTAATATGTCACTATCTGGACCTTGTGTGACTCACCTTACAGAGATGAGCTTCTGTGTAGTTTAACCTCTGCTCACTGGCTCTTGGGGTCCTTTTTATATTCATCATCTGAAGAAGCTGTGTGTGTGATAATAAAACGGTATATTGTTAAAGTTTTATGCTTCTGTTTATTAGAATTTAAGGGATTATAAAAATAATCTATAAAATAGTCCATGCAACTTCCCTTGGAGGGCATATATTAGAAGATGGAGAGTATGCTTGCTACCTTTTAGAAACAAACAAAAAAAATCCTATTTAGGCATCATCCCTCATCCTACTAAAGCGCACTTCTGTGGCTTCCCACTCCTTGTGGCCCAAGAGTTCTTTGACATGCCTGGCGCTTTGGTGGAGGTTCAGGAATGCCAGGTCTCTGCTGGTTTGCTCCTGTGGCCTTCCTTTATCCCTTTTTGAAATTGTGGAATGCATGCTGCCTTATGGGCACCGAGGGGAGACTGGTGCCTGGTTTATCTCAGTGGCATGACAGGACTGGCAAGGAGATAGCCATGTGTGCTCCTGCCACAGGGAGGGCTCAATGTGCCCTACAACAAAGCTATCTGCAACCAAGTTTTAAGTAGGAAAACGATTACAACTACCCCTGGCAAAGAGGCGGAATAAGGCTGTGGGCAAAAATATCAGTCTTTGCTTACTCAGCTCTGGCAGAGAAGTTCTGTGAAATAGTTTTTGCTTTCAGACAATGCTATGAGCACTTTATCTTTTGTTAGTGTTGGTTAAAAACTCATCTGATGAGAACTGCTTTGGTAAAAGGCATAGATACAGTTGACACGTGTACATTGTGGGGCTTATGGGTGCTGACCTCCCATACAGTTGAAAATCTACATATACATTTTGACGGCCCATAACTTACTTACAGTTTTCCCTTAGTACCCATGGAGGATTGGTTCCAGGTACCTCCAAGGATGCCAAAAACTACAAATGCTCATGTCCCTTACATAAAATGGCATTAAACAATGCATACAATCAGCCCTCCACATCCATGAATTCCCAGCCGTGGATCAAAAGCCCTGTCTTGAGATGCTTGAACCAAATGTACTCTAAAGTTTCTTCTTGCCCTAGTATCTTATTATTTATTTGAGGGCTTAAAAGACTACAGTGGTTATTGCATTGCCAAGAATCTCAAAGAGATGTGGTGGTACCAACTACCTGAGGGAGTAAAACAAGAACTGTGTATACACTGTACACTGTCATGTGGAGTTGAGAGCTTATGAGGACTTTATATAGGGAAGATACAAAGATGAGAAAATAAATTAGGAAATTGAAGCCTAGTGACAGATAAATAAAAATATATAAGAATTGATATTATTTGTTCCAGAGAAATATGAGAAATAGCCTGAGAACATCCTAGGAATTTTCAGTGTATGCAACAAATATTTATAGCCAACTACGTACCAGCCACTGTTCTCATTGAGGATCTGAGGATGAGATGAGTTGAGGTACAAATAAGCTGTAGCAAATGCTTCCTTAGGAAGCAACATGTCACCACTAAGATAAGATAAACTAGATTGCATCAGGCAGGGTGCTTGGGTGATGCCCCGTGGTCCTTGGAGGTGACAGTGCCCTGTGTTTCAGATGGCTAAGGAAACATCTTGCCTAATGGTCATCTTTCCTAAGTACTCTTTTTTTTATATATATATTTTATTGATTTTTTTTTTTTTACAGAGAGGAAGAGAGAGAGATAGAGAGCTAGAAACATCGATAAGAGAGAAACATCGACCAGCTGCCTCTTGCACACCCCTACCGAGGATGTGCCCACAACCAATGTACATGCCCTTGACCGGAATCGAACCTGGGACCTTTCAGTCCGCAGACCAACGCTCTACCACTGAGCCAAACCGGCTTAGGCTCCTAAGTACTCTTTATTGTGTCCTCCCAGACTGAATCCTTTATTTATTTCCCATTCTTGCTGGCTATTTCACCAAAAAGAGGGAGATAAGACTTGCACTGAATGCTCCATTTCCCTCCCAGTCGATATATGCTAGAGTTCAGGGTAATGGGGATGTCATCACACCAGGATAAGTAAGGTAGAATAGGATTTCAACCTTCCCTGAGAACATAACCATCAAAATACACTACAAAGCGAACTGTGCCTTTGGATCCTAGGATGCCCCAATGATGAATCAGCCCTCTGCTTATGGTAGTCTCTAAACCCCTTAAATGGGCTCCAGCATTCCCTCTGCCACCTTGCCTTGCCTGTAATGCAGCATGGCAGGGAATAGGGAGTGCTAGGTGGGGTTCACAGGGGAGAAGTGATTTTGACGTAGCCCATTGTTTTAATTTTTTGACAGTGCTTTCATTGCTTGGATAAATAAGAGTTATCCATGGTTTTAGTGAGGTTTTTTTCCTCTTTATACTTTCAAGAAAGTAAAAACTGTACAATAACACTATTATATTTATTTATCTATTATATTTATTATATATATTTATCTATATATCTCTGACTTGCCTATTATATTTATTTATCTATTTTCTGTGACTTGCCTTGTGCCATCAGAATCAGCTGTTGAGTTATAGACCTTAATAGAACCAGGGTCTCAAAATATGCTGCCTTGCCCATAGTAAGAACTTACCCACATCTTACTATGTAAGAAATACGCTGTCTTACCCATAATAATAAGCTATAAGTATCCTGTATCTTTGCTAAAGCATCCTACTTGGACATCATTGATTTAAACCTTCTTAAATTGGAAACAACATACTTAATTTACTCTAAGAGAGCAGCAATTTGCTATTTCGTGAATGGGAGGGAAACTATCTAAAACTTTCCTGTTCTAAGGGTGGCCTGCGGCCCAGAGCATACACACCAGCTGGAAGCAGTTAGAAATGTAGACTCCCCATCCCCTCCACCCCATCTACTGAATTAGAATTTGCATTTTGACCAGAAACCCCAGGTAATTCTTGCGCATTGTGCTACGTTGTTCATAGTACAAAGATAGTCTCTTCTCTATCCTGTTTCTGGGGGAAAGGCTCTAACAAATTGCCAATATCTTACATGGGCAAATAACAACTGTCTTGAAGATGAAAACTAATTGACAAAAGAAAATTAAATTGATAGATTTCAATCTTCCTTTTTCTTCTCTCGCTTCCTGACTGATATGCTAACCGAAGGGGCAGGGGGAAAAGTCCTTTTCCTTTCTAAATCATTCTACCGGCGTCATATTGATTTTCTCTCACGTGTACCCGGTGGTCTCGGGTGATCACATATTTTCTTACATTACTTACATTGATACAGCACCTTGACTCCTGGGCTGACATATATTGCTTGAGCTGTGATGACACCACTCACCAGTGGCATTTCTTGGGGGTGGGGTGTACCAGGCCTCTTATGCATGAAATGTAAGGGGCCAGGCTGTCTCCCAGCAGTATTTTTATTCTTTGAAAAGTGATTGCCAGGTATTGCCTGGCTGGTGTGGCTCAGTGGTTGAACATTGACCTATGAATCAGGAGATCATGTTCGATTCCCAGTCAGGGCACATGCCTGGGTTGCAGGCTCGATCCTCAGTGGGAGACAGCCAATTGATGATCCTCTCTCATCATTGACGTTTCCATCTCTCCCTTTCCTTCGTCCCTTCCTTTCTGGAATCAATAAAAATATTTTCTAAAGTAAAATAAAAAATGATTATTGTTCACTCCAAGTGATAGCTTAAGGTCCCCATCACTGTTGTTTAACATTGTTTCTAGCGCCTACAACAGTGTCTTGAGTTCTTTCATGTTCTGTTTTGTGCTGATGCAGGGAGGTGCGAATTCTCAACAGGCATCAAAATACGATTTGTAAGAAAGAAATGTCAAGTGTCTGAAAGAATACCCAGTGGCCTTCCATATGCCCTTGCTCAGGCTCTCTTTTTCACCTTTGTATCGCCCTCTCCCCTCCTCTCCCTCTGTTTCAGCTAGCCGTGAGGTGGCTGGAACACAACTGCCATTACCAGTACATGGACGAGCTCCTGCAGTACATCCGCTTTGGGCTGATGGACGTGGACACCCTCCACACCGTTGCCCTGTCCCACCCCCTGGTCCAGGCAAGCGAGACCGCCACGGCTCTGGTCAACGAGGCCCTGGAGTACCACCAGAGCATCTACGCGCAGCCCGTGTGGCAGACCCGCAGGACCAAGCCCCGGTTCCAGTCGGACACCCTGTACATCATCGGCGGGAAGAAGCGCGAGGTCTGCAAGGTCAAGGAGCTGCGGTACTTCAACCCCGTGGACCAGGAGAACGCCCTCATCGCGGCCATCGCCAACTGGAGCGAGCTGGCGCCCATGCCCGTGGGGAGGAGCCACCACTGCGTGGCGGTCATGGGGGACTTCCTGTTCGTGGCGGGCGGGGAGGTGGAGCACGCCACGGGCCGGACGTGTGCCGTGAGGACCGCCTGCCGCTACGACCCCCGCAGTAACTCCTGGGCGGAGATAGCCCCCATGAAGAACTGCCGGGAGCACTTCGTGCTGGGCGCCATGGAGGAATACCTCTACGCCGTCGGCGGCAGGAACGAGCTGCGCCAGGTGCTGCCCACCGTGGAGAGATACTGTCCCAAGAAGAACAAGTGGACCTTCGTGCAGTCCTTCGACAGGTCCCTCTCCTGTCACGCTGGCTACGTGGCGGATGGTCTTCTCTGGATATCAGGTAAGAAAAGACCTCCTATGTGGGATGCATAAAAAAAAAAAAAAAAAACACTTCCATGGTTGGGATACATTTAAAAGTCAAGCTTTTTGGTGGGGTGGCCCATGTGTAATGGAATGAATGCGCCAGAACTGCCATTTTGTGGGTAAATACAATAACATTCATTGATTGAGTACCGACTCTATACAGAACTAGGTATGACTTTCTGAGTGATTAGCGAAGTAAAAATTCAAGATGGAAATTAATAGCCCATCGAAATTTTTTTTTTCTTTTTTAACCAAGATTGTCAGCTTTTGATATTCATGGGTTGTATTGCACACCTTTTTAAAAAATATATATATATTTTATTGACTTTTTACACAAAAGAAGAGAGAGGGATAGAGAATTAGAAACATCGACCAGAGAGTTACAATAGAATCATCGATCAGCTGCCTTTTGCACACCTTCTACTGGGGATGTGTCCGCAACCAAAGTACATGCCCTTGACCAGAATTGAACCTGGGACCTTTCAGTCCTCAGGCCGATGCTCTATCCACTGAGCCAAATCGGTTTCAGCTGTATTGCACACCTTTGCTTTTACCTTTACCCTGGGCTACCTGACTTTGAGTCTTTCATCAAAGATAGGGCAGGCAAAATAAAAGCCCAGTAAACCCATTTTGATGAGTATAGCAATGAATATCCGGGTAAGAGGATGGCTGTGCATTGAGGGATTGAAACTATTGGCTAAAATAGTGTTTTATATTACTTGTGTCATACTAATCCTTCATTCCTAATTAGTCTTCATTCTTTCTGATCATTTAGGAGGCATTATTATTTTAGTTTCCTTTTTTCATCATTTTTTAAAAGCCTTTTGATTATGAAAAAAAAAAGTAGAGAGTCTAGTATAATGAACTTCATGTACCCATAACCTTAGCTCCAGCAATTATGCACTGGCTTTTTCCACTCTTGTTTCATCCACACCCACATTCTTCTTCAAACACCCCAGGGCTGCCTTTTCACTTGTGCAGAAGAAGTCTGTGGGGCGTGTATATTAACATCCCATTATCAACCTGTGTTTCCAGTTCTATTATTGAAAAGACCTAAAATATTCTCCTTTGAAATCCTTGCCTACTGGAGAAGAAAGTTGTATCTTCTCTTAGTTGGAGGATACTCAAGCACTTAAGCCCTGACTTGATGTTAAACAACTCAAATAGAACTTGTTGAATTTCTATGTCAAGGTCAAAGAGGAAAATCAAATACTATAAGTCCTCAATAAATGACATCAATAGGGTCTGTGACTTTAAGCAAAATGACATATAAGGAAATCTATTTTACCATAGGTGATTGATATAAACAAGAGTTAAGTTCCTGTGGCATCTCATCAAAATTCTAACAAAATGACATTGAAGGAAATGATGTTATTTGAGGACCTGCTGTACTAAGAGTAATTCTGAGATATTTGCAGGTAGAAGAAACACTCATTTTTAAGTACACCTGTGAATGCGTCTCAGTTTCCTCCAACAATCTTCCCTGGTTGTTTAACATCTTCTCTGACAGCATTCTCCCTTGCATTTAAACTAAATCTGTTTGGATTCTGCCCATGTTTTCCTTCCACTGTCCTCAGTAACGAAGGAGAAAGCCCACTCTTGCTTTTTTTGTGGGTAATGCCTCAGTTATTTTCCATTTACCAATTTTCTTTGAAGAACCTAGCTCATGTCAGGGCTTAAGTGCTTGGTAATAAATGAATGAAGCTGAGATTATGAAATAAAGAAGAGGATAGTGAGGTGGACCCAACAATTACTGCTCCTATATACCAAACAAACATATATAAGTGTACATGTTAGCATATATAGATATATTTCAATAAAAGCCTCATCTGGTGATTTGTTCTTTTCTCTTTAAGTATAAATAGCTAAGAAAATAACTACCAGGGCTAGAACCCTCTGCTGAAGGAACTTCAAAGTTGGCTATAAATAAGTCTTTGGTATAGAAAGAACAGATCTCTACTTGACTTGGATAACAAAGCAATGATGAATTTATGAACTTAATGTAATTTATATTTTCTTCCAGTTTATATTCCTTCCATTGACTCATTTAGTTTTCATATGTTGTTAATGTACTGTATTCCTACATTAACAACATCTTCTGAATTTTGCATGAATTTCTCACAAATAGTTTTATGAATATTTTTTTTTTTTTTACTACAAAACTATAGCTTTTTAAAAAAAATGCTTGAGTTTTCCTTACATAGTTTTAAGGATATAACTACTTACTTAGTACTTTCTTTAGTGGAGCCTTAAAAAGGCACTGAAGCTTACCTTAGACAGGCTAGATCTATCACCTGGTATCAAGCTGACTTCTACTTCAATACGAGTCCATATATTCCCTTTTCCATTATCTTAAATGCATCAACTTATTACAGCCCTTATGGCTATATCACTTTGTTTTTCCCTACTGTAAAAATAAATATATTTCTTTGTTCTTTTTTTTTTTTTTTTTTTTTTTTTTTGCAATAATGTACGCTGCCTGAGTTAACCATACTTAATGAAAACAATCACAATTTTCTCAGGTTTGTTTCTCCCTACTGTGTACTTGAGATGACAAACCCGCTTCCCTGTGTATAGTGCAGTACTTTTAATTAGAAAAAAGGGGAAATCACTAGTGACATTTCTAAGTCGGCTGCCTCTTTCTTCAAGCCCAGCTTGTAATAAATTAATTGTGGATCTAACCATGCATAGGGAGTGCGGGCAATAAGATTTGCCAATGGGCCCCTTTTTAAAAAGACAGATATATTTCATCCTGACTATCACTGATTTCGAAGGGCTACCCTGATTTATTGGAGCAGATGAAACTATTTGAGGCTATTCCTTATCCTTTACTAAATAATCAATTATTTCCAATTTAATTGATGGGGGATTGGATCATTGACATTCTTCTGGCATTTTGAACGCTTTGCCTGAGGTAGAGGTAGTAAGGATTACAGAATGTGGATTTAGGCCTTATTTTTGTGCCAGAGAACACAAAATGAATGTTCTTCGGAGACTCATAATTTTCAGGGTGCCCTATTTCTCCTCACACCCCCTTCCTTTCCTCTATTCGTTTTGGGGTCAGGACACCTTGAACACCCTCTCATGGTTTTTAAAGTGAGACAAGGAGAGATGAATTCAGAAAATCAGACTGTATGGATATGCCCATTAGCATTCGATTTAGAATATTAGAGATAGTCATATTTTACAAGGCTCCTGTAATATTTGACATTGCGACCCAATTCACAAATGCTGCACATCATTTCTACTTGAAATTCACAATACCGAAATAAAATAAGAATTAAATATCCTCCAGTTGTGCTTTGAAAAGTCTGCTCTTCATTGTAAGGTATCGCCTGTAAAGGACTAAAAAGATCCTTTTGTGTGTGTGTGAGTGAAAGTTAATCCTGAATTCATCTTGCAGAACAACTTAACTTTTCATTTTTGTCAAAAAGCATCAGGATAATGGGAAGGTAATGACAAAATCAGTGCTTTAAAACTATAAAAATAAGACAAATGTTACTGCATTTATCCAAATGCAATGTTTCGTGCTTTCTTGTTCCTTTGGTGAATGCTACATTCTTATTAAGTCTAATGCTGGCTCATAGTTAAATAAAACTAATTCAACAAACATACTTCCGGTCCTCTAGGAGCTGACAGTCAAAGATTTTTGCAGATATTTCATTAATGAGAGAACAGTTGTTAAAGCTTCTTTAACTCTCTAGAACATATGTTTAGTTTTATTTTGAGTAAATTTAGGTGAAGCTTGCATTGCCCCATTTTAAATAACTTTAATTTATTCAAACCTACTAAAGGGGCTTTGGCTCTGCTAGTATTCATTAAAATGAGAACAATGTAAATTTTCCTTAACATTATTTTAACCACCATAGCATTAGTTTTAATCTGTGCAAATACTGTGTTTGCATCTAAAAAATTGTCTATAAAATATTGGGAACTCACAGATGGGATGGCAGAGGCTGGATTGTGGTGCACTGAGGTCACAGACTAAGTAAGGTCACACACATGAAACTTGCTCCACTTCTTACCGACCAGGAGATGCTGAGCAAGGTTCCTAGCTCATTAAGTCCTATTCGGCTAGTGCTGAAGGGACAAAGGAGAGGAAGACATAGGTCTTATGTTGGAGCTCTTAGTACAGCAGAGGGAACAGACTTTTAAAAAATAATTTTAGTATAGCAGATGCTCTGTGTGAGGGTAGAAGTCTTTCCTAGGTACAGAAATAGTGCAAAGCAGGGAGGAATTAGTGCAAAAGGCATGAGAGATTTCGAAAAATTTTGTAGCACCTTTCGCCTAACTAGGCCTCTGGTCCATTGGCTACTTCCTACTTACTCATGAGCCCTCCTGTCCTCATGCTGGGGCTTCATGGTCCAATCATTTCCGTCATTCCCTTGCACCCTGGCAAGCACAGTGGTAGACAGATTCAGCGGTCCGCTTTGTCTGTGTCTGTGGCTGGGCAGCAAGCCCTGTGGGAGGAACCGGGTAACAAGAGCCCCCCAAGACCTCTCTCCACTCTCCTCCTCACTTCCCTTAGAAACCCTCCCCTCAGACTCAGAGAGGGGGTCTTGCCTTCTGTTTCTCAGAGCAAGTGTAAGCGAGGAGGTTCTCACCGCAAATCTAGTGAGATACACAGAGGTGGTGGGGAGTGTGAGGAGACAGATGGGCAAGAGGTGCTCTGGAAAGGGGACAAGGGCGGGAGGTTGGGAAACACTATGGAGGAGGATGCAGAGGAGGGGAATGAAGGATGTTACAGAAGGGCGGGTGAGTGGCATCCACGACTACAGGTCCGAAATACCTCCTCCGCGTTTCTCAGTCAGGAGCTACTTGGTAATTTCAGTGAAAGCCATGCCAGGGGAGTGGAGAAGGTTGAAACTAGAATGCAATGCTAGGAACTGGAGGCTAGAATGCCATAAAAGGAAAGCGAGGAAGTGAAAACTGCATTCTAGCTTCCACTGCATTCTAGCTTCCACTTTAGACTAAACT